AGCCAAGAATTTCAGAAAGATGTTTACTTGTGTCTTATTGACTATGCAAAAGCATTTGATTGTGTGGATCATAACAAATTGTGGATAGCATTGAGAAGAATGGGAATTCCAGAACACTTGATTGTGCTCATGAGGAACCTGTACATAGACCAGGAGGCTGTCATTCAAACAGAAGAAGGGGATACTGCATGGTTTAAAATCAGGAAAGGTGTGTGTCAGGGTTGTATCTTTTCACCATACTTATTCAGTCCGTATACTGAGCAAATGATCTGAGAAGCTGGATAGACTGTGTGGAAAAGAACATGGCATCAGGATTGGAGGAAGACTCATTAACAACCTGTGATACTCGGACAACACAACTTTGCTTGCTGAAAGCGAGGATGCTTACTGATGAAAATTAAAGACTACAGTCTGCAGTATGGGTTATACCTCAGCATAAAACAAAAATCCTCACAACTGGACCAATAAGCAGTATCATGATAGATGGAGAAAAGATCGAAGTTGTCAAAGACTTCATATTACTTGGTTCTATTATCAGTGACAATGGAAGCAGCAGTCGCTGATCAAAGACATATTGCACTGGGCAAATCTGTTGCAAAAGACCTCTTTCAAGTGCTGAAGAGCAAAGATACTTCCTTGAAGACCAAGATGCACCTAACCCAAGCCATGGTATTTTCAGTTGTCTCATGTGCATTTGAGAGCTGGACAGTGAACAAGGAAGAACAAAGAAGAGTTGAGCTTTTGAGTTGTGGTGCTGGCAGAGAATGCTGAAAGTACCAGGGACTGCTAAAAGAACTAGCAAATCTGTCCAGGAAGAAATGCAGCTGGAATGCTCCTCAGAAGCGAGGATGGCCAGACTTCATCTCACCTACTTTGGTCATGTTGTGAGAAGGGACCATTCCCTGGAGAAAGATGTCATGATTGGTAAAGTGGAGGGTCAACAAAAGAGTGGAAGGTGCACGCTGATGTTCATCGCAGCACTATTTACAATAGCCAAAACTTGGAAACAACCTAGATGTCCAACAACTGAGGAATGGATAACCAAACTTTGGTACATTCACACAATGGAATACTATGCAA